CCTTCAGGAAGCCTACAAGGAGGGTCAGAACACAGCAACCCTTCCTTGATGCTTTCCCTTAGCAACTGATATTCAGGAATTACCTGCCCCTGTAAATGCATCAACCTTAGATCCCCCTCAGTCCCTATTAGAACATAGAATCATAGGGCTGAAAGGGACCATGGAGGTTTTCTAGTCCAACCCCCTGTTCAAGGCAGGAGAGCTTATATCATCACAAGGGTGCAACGATTTTTCTGACGCGGGGAAGAGATTTACAGTTGAGCCACTTTTATTAAAGCCACTTTTCTACTTAATATAGCTCAATATTTTTGTCATGTTTTTTTCATTTCCATCCTGCCCTTCCTAAATAGTTCAGGTTAGTTTACATTAATTTTTAAACCATTTAAAAACAAAGGCAAATAGAATAAAATTTGTGTAAACACCATATTAAAAGGACTAAAGATGACAAAATCCAGACAAAACAATGGGTGCCTGTGGGGCTCTTGAAGGCATCTAAAGAAGACAGACATTTGCTATCTATCAGGCATGTCTTTTACAAACCAGGGACTGAGAAGTCCTCATCCCAAATTGATGGGATGACCTGGTCATACCTGAAGAATTTCTTTTGGCAATGTTCCCGTGCATGAGGATCATGTAAACTAGAGCATTTTCTTAGGTAAGCTACGCCTAAGCTCCTAGGGTTTTAAAAGTAATAACTAGCACTTTATTTTTTGCCCTCAAATCTCTGGAAAGCCAAGGTAATAGCTGAAGAACAGGAAATATAATGTAGCTTCCCCAAGTTGCACTAAAAATCTGCAGTGTGTATGGCAAGTTTAAGATGAGTGGACTTCTACTTCCAGAATTCCACAGCCAGGGGAATTCTAGGAGTCAAAATCTACATATTTTAAAGTCACCAAGATTGAGAAATGCTGGTCTAGATACTTCCTCTTGAAGTTGATTAGCCATTATCTTTCCTAGAACCTTTCCCTGTTCAGATATATATAAAACTGTTGTTTCCTTTAAACAAGGAAATATCCTGCTCTCTCTCAGTGATGCATTACTGTTCTCTTCTAAGTTAATTCTCACTACTCCTTACACAATGATGTCACCCTTATTAGGCATGGATCTAAAGAATGAATGGCAAGCTAGTCCACCCCAAGGAATACCATATGCTCATAAATCATATGTTGAAAATAATCCAATGTATGAGAATCATTGGACCCTCTCTTAGCTGACTCTGCAAAAATACTTGTCAACCCATGTGCAAAATATTTTATCAGAAAACAGCTAATTTGAAAATCACAGCAAGACGTTGTTTCTGGGAGCCAAGGAGCTTGAATAAAACTGCTAATTTTCTAGCAAGATTCTGCTAGAAACAAATTTGCTGATCAATACGTACATAATAAACTTGGAAGTTCCAGGGCTGCATGTAGCCTCCTCCTACAGTTGATGTTTGTCCCTCAAGTCTCCTCTAATCATAACTGCTGACAATTGGAGCAGCTCCCACCCCCTCCAAATTGTTAAACAAAGGGTCACCTATACTTGCAACATGGCTTCCAAATTAATAGAATGTGGAGACATTATAGAACCTAGACAAAAAAAAAATAGAGAATTTTTTCCTTTCCATCAGGCCAACCAGGGATATATTATTGAAATTGTACTTTGTTTAAACACTACTGTTCATTCTTTTTCCCCCCTTTTTTTGTGGTGAGATCCTGAAGTTGCAGTCTGCACATCATGAGAAATCTTTATTGCAGGAATGCAGAGTTTTTCCCAATTCTTCCAAAAATCATGGCTCAGAAGAACATAAATATTTTTGTTTCATTCCCTTTTAGGTTTAATTTTAATTTTGCAGAGTTAGTATCACCTTAGAGTTATGTTTTACATGCTCCTACATCAGGGGCAGGCAACCTTGGCTCTTTTATGACTCATGGACTTCAACTCCCAGCATTCCTGAACCAGCCATGCTGACTCAGGAATGCTGGGAGTTGAAGTCCATGAGTCATAAAAGAGCCAAGGTTGCCTACCCTTGTCCTACATATTAAAGGTATCTTGGGGGCCAAGGAATTTGGAGGCTGCATATGGCTCTAGGACTTCAGATGATACAAATCTGTTTTATGCTACAAATAAGATATAAATGCTCTTGCTTTATCATCTATATTGTTGTTTCTCAACCTTGGCAACTTTAAGATGTATAGACTTCAACTCCCTGAATGCTCTAGCCAGAATTGTCGAACCAGAATGCCCCACCTAGGCTGGCTGAGGACTTCTGGGAGTTGAAGTCCAAACTTCTTAAAGTTGCCAAGGTTGAGAAATACTAAGCCAGTGGTTCTCAACCTTTTTAATGCCGTGACCCCCAACCGGTCATAAGTCGAGGACTACTCAACCGGTCGTAAGTCGAGGACTACTCAAACTCACCGTTTGCAGAATGTGACTTTTGGCGGGCTCAGCAGGGCAGAGACAGCCTGGACAATTCCTATTGGCTTTTGAAAGCCAATAGAATTAGACTCTATTCAAGAGAGTCTATTTTATTGGCTTTCAAAAGCCAGTAGAATAAAAGGGAGTAGCACAGCTAAGGAAAAGGGGAAAAAATGGCGGACTGCATTGTTTGGCGACCCCCCGTGAAATGGTCGTTCGACCCCAAATGGGGTCCCAATCCACAGGTTGAGAACCATTGCACTAAGCTATATCTTGGGAGATTTTTTTTTCTTACATGGCTAAAATGCTCTAATAAAAAAAAATCTGTCCCTTTCCATGCTCTGGGATATCTTATCTGGTTGGTGGGTGTTGTTGTTTTTTTTTTTAAAGAAAACTGAGCAGAATTAGATCTCATTAGCAATGGACAGGACACCACCAGGAAATACAAGGCTGTAGGCCAGACCTGGAACTTGACAAAATATCCTGGAGGAAGGCAAGGGCACCACTTTTAAACAGCTGCCAGGAAAACCTATCCAACAAATTGCCAAGAGTTGAGTTTGACTATAAAGATTCGTAACTTTTTTCTACTATGTTAAAATTGTAACTAGGTAACAAATAAAGGTACCTAAAGGCTATCCCCAAACTTTTTTTGGTGGAGGGGAGCTGCACATGGCTTCCAAAATTTTAGGTTGCGCATATCTGCTCTAAAGAATACTCTTTCCTCCTACCAGAAACATCTTGAGTGTTTTTTCATAGGAAAACAGTACTGTATTCCAGTCCCCTTTCTCTGCCCTGCAAAAGGCCACATGTCTCAAATGCCAGAAACATGTTTAATATTCGGAGAAAGTGTATCCCCCATTTATGTCCTGTCTTTGGAGTTCAGAAGCACTCTGCTTTGCAGCACAGTTCTAGCTAAAACAGATTGACCTTACTGTGGGACCTTACTGTGGGACGTGTGAAATAGCCAAAGTTTTTCACAGTTTGTCTTAGCATGGCAGGAACGTGACATCTGTGGGAAGCGTATGCCAGGATCACAAGGCAAGCACATGCTGAGCAGCCGAGAGCAATGACACATTCATGCACCCAAGAAGCAGATGTGCTCCCACAAATGGAGATAGCAACATCCATCAGCTGAGCCGAGGCAGCTGTATTATATGCTAGTAGCGTGCACAAGCTGTAAATGTGGATGTTAAACTGGAGCACATGGTCATTATGGATTCATGAAGTTGGACTGTTGCACCGTAGAATTTTGCTTCAAAATGTGCATTTCCATTTTGTCTTAGAAATATCTTTTCCCTCCCAAAAGGACTGGGGAACTGGAATTGAAAGGTCTGGAAATGGATTTATATAGAAGACTAATTCATCTATCTGACCCAGGCCATAAACCAGAGAGCAAGCACCTCCTAATAACTCCAGTAACTGAGTTAAGCTGCATGCAGTTGAAAATCTTCCCAAGCATACCTAATGGGATGTTACAATGGTGCCAAATTAACATTTCCACTGCCTGATCTTTGCCCCACAGCCAAATGTTCAACCATTCTCAAAAAGGTGCATGAGAAAATGAGGAGGGGAAGGGATTAGGAAGAAACTTATATAAACACACAAGAGGCGCTTGTGGGATGCACATCCAGAAGGAAGGACCTATTGGGTGTAACTGAAAGTGCCCACTAGTATCTTTGGAAGGAATTTAGCCACAGTACCTGTGGTGTGAAAAATCAGGGGAAGCAAGCGAGCCTAGTGCAGTATTTCTGAATCTCAAAAACTTTTAAGATGTGTGGACTTCAACCTGTCTGGCTGGGGAATTCTGGGGGCTGAAGTCCACACATCTTAAAGTTCCTGAGATTGAAAAACATTGGCCTAGTAGTGCAAGAAACTGCTCCATTCCCACCAGCAGTCCTGAGTCTGCAGCCAAGCATTTTTCTAAAGATCCTTAAGGTATGTTTCCCCCCTTGCTTGATTTAATGTACCCTCTTTCTATAGTGACCTGCTGAAAGCTGAATTCCTCCTCGGTTGGCCCAAGCCCGTCCCCTACCCTCTCTCTGGCTTCAGCATCTCCTTGATGGCAAAGTATGCTTTTTTTAACACTACAGCAGAAGCCACGATTCTGCCCTCCCTCCCCCCTCCCAAAAAACCACACCATTTTGGGAGATTTGGAAGGGAGAAGCAGTAGCAGAAGAAAATGACAGTGAGAGTTTCCTTCTGGTGGCATTTCGAGTCACTGTCACGGGATCGTCCACTGCCTTCCTTTCCCCCCCTCCTGCCACCAGGCGACTCAATCAGCAATTGCTGAGCCTCATCCCTGGCTTCTCTAGGGGGAATCAGCTCTTCCCCACCATCCCCGTGGATGCTGGTGCTGTTAGGAAGAGTCCACGGGACCCCTGCCGCCCACCCCAAACCTCATTCTTCCAGGGGTGCAATTGTAACTTGGCCCTTTCACTGGCAACATCCAGTGAACATCCCCCTTCACCTACAGCAGGTACCTGGGACACCTGAGCTGCTCCCTCTCTCCTTGCACATCCATCAGCCTGACTGTTGTAAGGGGGAAAGGTCCCCTTCCTTCTCAACATCTTTTCTCTCCTCCCGCCACCCGGGACATCCCTTACCTTGCAGTGATGAGCACGCCAAGGACACTCTTCCCCCAATCTGCAATGTCTTTGGTGGCGGATACTAAATCCTTGAAATCCGTGGGGGGGCCGGCTGGCTGTAGAGAAGGGGAAATATTCCATTCAGTAGTCCCACCCTGATCTTGGAAGAAGGGGGAGGCTGGGGGAGACAACTGCGATCGCGGACGCGGGGGGGGGGGGAAGAAGCCTACGGCTACTTGTAGGCAAGAGAGCAGAAGACACTTGGTGTGGAGGCAGATCGACTGCTTCTGCAATTCAAGGGACGGCTTTCTCCCGTCGTTTCGGGGTATAAAAATATAAATGAAATGTCCTCGGTTCCTTGGGTAATGCAGAGAAGTGTTCCCGGGAAGAGCGTCGTGTGTGTGTGTGCGTGTGCGTGTAAGGAAGGAAAGGGGGGGGGTAGGAAATCTCTTGCTACTGACTGCTGGAGATCCACTGGGTCACAAAGCCTGACGTGTTCTAGCCAACTTTGAAAGAGAGGAAGCAACGGAACCGCGCCGGGAGTTTGGAGAAATCCTTAGGAGGCAGTAACGTATCACGCGGATTCGGATGGGCACGGCCTCTCTTGACCCAATTGCCAGAGACTTCGTCGTTTCCTCGTTAGATTTAAATCCTGCCTTTTCTCAAGGGGTTCCAGGTAGCTTCCCTAACGACGTTTACCTTATCTCCACAACAACCTTGAGAGGTAGGTTGGACCAAGAGAGTTTGTCTTCGTGATACTTGCGCAATCCCTTGCCTGCTACGCCACATTGGCTCTACATAGCCTCATGTAGTCTCACTGCTAGCTCGTGAGAAAGGATAATGTAGGTGATGAGAAAGGATATGGGCGTCAGAAGGGATATTCCTGGGATTTCTGCTACACTGGGGAATTGAAAACAGTGCTGAGTTTAGGGGTTAAAAAATGGTCTCTCTTTTTAAAGGCAACTGGCTGCATAGGAATGAGAATGCCATAGCAGACTAGCAGCATCTATGCAAATGATAAAACATGACTTGCTTACTTACCTGTGGTTGGCTAATTAAATCACAACTGATGTAGAGAATCATGGAAATGGAAGGGACACATCTGTTACACCCCTCTGTTATGTCCAAGAAAACCAATTAAATAATCTATGAGAGATGACTGACAAGCCTGTACTTAAAAATCTCCAGAGAAGAAGAACCCTTCCTTTCAGTTGGTAAGGTACTTTACTGTTGTATAGATTTTACAATAAGGAAGTTTTCCCTTATATTAAGTGAACTACAGGTAACTGTAGGTTGTACACATTGTTTCTGATCCTATTTCTTTTCCTGTTTCTGACCACCTTTCCCAAGCATTTTATTTACTTGAATAGCTCATCCTAAGTTCCTTCAGTCACGAATGAAGGTGAATATATGTGTTCCAGGATAATGTTGCAGGATCCAATCTGGGTTTGTCATGGGGACCAGAGGTTTAGTCTTCCAAGCTTTTGGATTTGTGCTGGAGCCCATTCTCAGGGAACTTCTCTCTAGTAGAGTGTGTGCTTTGGGCTATCCTGTGGGTGGTGTTTATATGGTCCCTGTTGTGTGTGGTTTTTTTAGTTGTTTAGCATGAGTCCGAAAGCTGGGAAGATTAAATCTCTGGTCCTGGTGACTGACCCAGATTGGATCCTTCAGCCAATCCTTACAGGAAATACCTTTAAGTCCCTGTGTCATATTTATCACTGCCCTCAGTATTCTTCTGGAAACGAGGATCCCAGAATTATACATATAGGTAGACCTTTACTTACAACCATAATTGGGACCAGAATTTATGTTGCTAAGCAAGGCAGATGTTATGTGAGTTAAACACAATTCTATGACCTTTTTTGCTACGATTAAGTGAGTCACTGCAGTTAACTAGTTCCAGCTTCCCCCATTGACTTTGCTTGTGAGAAGCCAGTTGGGAAGGTTGCAACAGTAGTCATATGACACTGGAATGCTGGAACCATCGTAAATTCATGCTGGCTGCCAAGTAGCCAAATTTTGATCATGTGACTGTAGGGATTCTGCAGTGTGGATAAGTACGTAAGCCACCTTTTTCAGAGTCAAACTTTGAATGAATATAAATTGAGGATTACCTGTAGTACTCTTGTTATAGTGTCATCAAACTGCAACATAGATAGGAATAAGGACTTTGTACTTCTGATGCAGTGTCTCTTAACCTTGGCAACTTTAAGATGTGTGGTCTTCAATTTCATGCTGGCTGGGAAATTCTGGAAGTTGAAGTCTATCTTCAACTTGCCATATTTAAAAAACAGTGCAATAAAGCTAGCATGGACATCCAAAATGGTGCCTGTGGTTCTGCAGGAAGATCTCTTCTGGCTTCCTAAAGATCTTCAATAATGAGGCAGAAGCAAGAAGCTAAGTCCAAAGCCAACCTGATCCCATTTCCATCCAGCAGCTTTTTTATTTTGAGCCACCCAGGAATCTTTCCCTTCAAATTATGACACCCAATAGGAAACTGCTCAGTGTTTCTTGTAATCAGAAATATAAGAAACTCTTCCCTCCTTAGGGATGAGAAACTTGTAGCCTTCCAGTTATGCCAGAACTATAGTTTGTATCCTTGTTGGTAAAGAATGCTGGGAATTGCAGATCAACTGAACTGGAGGATCATGATTTCCCAGTCCTTGAGATTTTTCATCCCTCAGTCCAAATTTGTCTTTTTATGTGTTTAGCAGAACAGTAGCATATGTTTGGAGTAGCCTCAAATGATTAAACAAATGCAAACCATGCCTGAAATGAGCCTCAGTGCATCCCATTTTTAATCAAAATCTGCACTGTTAATTTCACACGGCGATGCTGAATTCAAACAATATTTAGTATAAGAAGGCATTTTTCTCTTTGTTGTTCACCTTCATCTCTTCAGATGTCTAAGGAATTTTAGATTGGCTGTATTGGCGCATTACATTTAACTCACATACTGAATTAAAACATTTTCTGGATCATGCAATACATACTGTATATATGGCCATAAATAATCAAATGGACTTGGATTATATGATTACTGAATCAAGCATGTATAAAAATAAATAAGGTTAATGAGAACCCCAGTTAATGTGTCTTAAGTCTTTCATTAATCTGGTTAAATGCACTTGGTGTACATACATGTAGTCTTTGACTTACAACCACAGTTATTAAGTGAATCACTGCAGTTGTTAAATGAATCTGGCTTTCCCATTGACTTTGCTTGTCAGAAGCTGCCTGGGAAGGTCATAAATAGTAACCACATGACTCTAGGACACTGCACTTTGGTTGCCAAGTGCCCAAATTTTGAGCACGTAACCTTGGGGATGCTGCAATAGTTGTAAATGCGCAGATTGGTGTAACTCATTTTTTTCAGTGCCATTGTAATGGTTGCTAAATGAATAGTTGTAAGGAATACCTATAGCCCTAGTACGTTTTCTTGAATTGGCAAGGAGTGTCTCCATTATTATACATTAATCACATGATATACTGTAGACAAACTATAGATTATGGCATTCATGGCCCTAGAACCGACATGGGTGTCTGAGCAGTTGTTTCTTTAATTAGATTCTAGTTTGTCTATTGAAGACCACCCCAATACAGCATTCTGAAGCCCATCTCATATGGGTCTGTGAAAGAAGAAGTTGGAAATTAACAATAATTGTCTCCGGCTTTTGTGATTCCAGCAGACATTGTTCCTTCCCAAAACCAGTATGTCTCTGCTGACATCCAGGATTCGGGTACAACACCATAAACTTACTGCAAGTAGCTTCCTTCATTTGAAGGACTGCCCATCAGTCCACCAGTGTTGCAGATGTGATATACATTCACCTGGTTGCTTTGTTCCAGGTTAGCATCATTTTTAATCTTGGGATGGCCAAAGATTATGCAAACCAGATACAGCTTCCCAGTGTGGTCCGAAGTATGTCCGTCAATAAAAAGTTTCAGACAAATTTTCATCTAGGGTTGAGTGCTCATGGATCTCAGCACTTTTTTGTAGATCCATTTATATCCACCTAAACTGCACTATTAACATTCAACATAAAAATGCCCCAAAATGATGTTTTGTGGTATCTTCCCCAAAACACTCTGATACTCTTAAAAAGGCTAGGATGCATTTAAGTCAGATTCAACTCCTATGACATGAGGATGCAGTTTTCCAAGCTACAATATAGCCATTTTTATTTGTTTCTTTTGCTTGTATGCTGCCCTTCTCACCTAGGTATCTTGCTTGCCATTGCTTTCTCTCAGGATATTTTAGTCTCCAGCTACATACTTATCAGTCCTGAGGCTCCTTAGCTGAATCCTAAGTTAGCCGGGTGCTACTGCACCGAGAGGGACCCTTTAGCATTCCCCTCTCTCACCATGTTTATATGCCACTGTATATATAACAGTACTGCACATATTGTAGAACCACTGGATATAACAGTAGGTGGATTACAACAAAGAAATCCACAGAGCTCTCAGAAATGGAAAAGTGGTGTTCAGGTGTGATTGAAAATTCCTATCTGCCTATCATGGCAGAATAGTCAAAAACACGATATTGCTGGAAGAACACTTTGATTCCCACAATGGATGAATGGCTGCAAAAGTTGATGGAGTTAGCAGAGATGGTTGAATTGACTGCTTTGATTAAAGAAAAAAAACACAGTTTTGTTTCTACTTGGAAACTGCTTCTGGACTTTGTGCTTGAGGTGGAAAAAAAGTGAAACTTTGATTTTGGGTTTTACCGATAAGATAGGTTTGTTGTTATAGAAATGGCTACTTTATATTAATATGTAAAAATAAAAAATTGAGGTTTGATGCTATTATCTTTTTCTACTGCACTAAAGGGAGTCCAAAGTCAACACCTTTTCTTTCTTTCTTTTGCCCTACACTTTCCCCTTCCCTCCCCCCTTACTTTCCCACTATTTTCTTTTGGGTTTTTTTGTGTATTTTATATTATAAACTAATAAAAAATAAAACTATAAAAAAGACCAGATGTTGAATAAAATGTCAACCGTTTGTCTAGAAACATAATGTTGTTGTTGTTTTTTAAAAAAGGGAGCTGAGTCAGGAAAAAAGCAAGCCATTTGTAGACTATCACATTGTATATATGCGTGTATGTGTATGCCTCCGTGAGTGGGAGAGAGAGAGAGAGATTTCTCCCCGCCCCTCACACAGTTTTCCCACTGGAACCATAAAGGGAAAAAAAGTCTAATTCTTCAGCAAAGTGACGGCATAGATACAGCTGCTGATTTGAAGTCAACAGCACAAGACAGTAAACCAGAAGGCTGGGATCACAAGATGATCTGAGACAAGGAAGGGAGAGATGTCAGGTTCTTGAATGAAAGCCTTTAGGGGAGCCAGATAAGGATGTGGGAAATCACAAAGCGACTGTTGGAAGCCAGGCACTTCGACTGTATTGCACAAAGCTGGAAAGCAGAGACAGTGCCACAGGAAATCCTTTGTAGCAACAGCTGCTGCTTACATTTTTCTTTCTTCCGGTGAGATCTTCCACCTACCAGGGCAGGAGGTGACAGAAGCCTGGGGCATCTGACAGGCCATTTCCAAAGTATGTGTCACATAAAATCAGAGGCAATACTTCAGGGTGTCGATAGGACCTAGTCACAGAGACACCACCTTGTTGGCCTTGCCTTTCTTTTAAAGTATTTGTTGGTTGTTGAACAACCAAAACATCAAGACAAACTAAAAATACAGAATTAAAAACAAGAAAATGAACTGGAAACAATGCCAACAACAACAACACTGGGAATGAATTTGTGCACATATGTAAACTTCAGCAAAAGGGTTTAAACCTTCAGAGTCTAGAGCTTTACCATGAATGTTTGTGTAGAAGAAAATTAAGACTTGGTTAACATAGCCAAGAAATGGTGAGTGGATCTGAATAAATGTCTCTTTAATTATAGGTTTCTTAGACATAATACAGATGTTCCTGTTCCAGGGTATAGGGGTTTATCATGTTGATTTTTGTTGTGGCCACAATTTAAGTGTGTTAAGTCTATCCAAAGCTCTGTCGCTTTTTGTCCAAATTTGGCAGGAAATTGTACTGGGTCCCTGGCTTAAGCACGAGGTTGGATTAGACAACCTTTAAGATCCCTTCCAACTCTGTTATTCTATAATTCTGTAATTGTACTACTGGTGCATTTTGTGAGTAAGGGAGGAGGACAGCAGTAGTACAGTGCAGGTAAAGGATATTGGGGACTGCCAAATAAGAGGTACCAATTTATCCTCTGCCAGGATATTCCCTTACCTCTTTTTTTTATAATTTGTTTCAAAAAATGATTGTATAGTATTTCACCACTTCTCTCTGGTCTATACATATGCTGGATTTTTACCATAAACTTAGCCATCGTGGGCCAAGTTGGGGAAGTTAGGGAATCCTGATGCAATAGAGCAGGGGTGTCAAACTCAATTTCATTGAGGACCGCATCAGCATTGCGGTTGCCCTCGGGCCGGGTGAGTGTGGCCAGCTGGGTGCGGCCTACTGGGTAGGCATGGATGGAGTGGGTGTGACCTACTGGGTGGGCATAGGCAGCTCTACATCGTTCGCGTCAAGAATGCCTGTGGAGGCCTGGGCAAGAATGAGACAGATCTGAGGGTCTATGGCAGAAGGGGGTGGACCGGGGCAAGCGCCAAGGCTTGGTCCATTTCTTCATTCCTCACAAAGGGTGACACTTCCCCAGCATGCACCCAGGGGGCAGGGCCGATGCGGCCGGGGCTGGTTCCTCGCTGTTTCTAGACGGCCTTGTGGAGCTAAGACTGAATGCGTTTCAGCATAGATGGTCATCACAAAATTGTACATTGGCTCCCGGCCGGCCTGGGCCAAGGCAGTGGGAGCCGTTCTCTCACTGTTTCCAGGATGGCTTCGCAGGCCACATGAAACCACTTTGCGGGCCGCATCTGGCCCCCGGGCCTTGTGTTTGACATGTCTGCAATAGAGGTAGTCCTTGATTTATGACTACAATTGAGCCCAACATTTCTGTTGTTAAGTAAGACATTTGTTGAATTTTGTCCCATTTTATGACCTTTCTTGCCACAGTTGTTAAGTGAATCACTGCAGTCAATAAGTTAGTGACATGGTTGTTAAGTGAATCTTGCTTCCCCATTGACTTTGCTTGTCAGAAGGTTGCAAAAGGAGATCACATGATCTTGGGAAGACAGCAACAATCATAAATATGAACCAATGGCCAAGCATCTGAATTTTGATCACGTGAACATGGGGATGACGCAAAGGTTGTAAATGTGAAAAATGGTCATAAGTCACGTTTTTCATTGCCGTGATAACTTTGAATGGTCACTAAATGAACTGTTGCAAGTTGAGGACTAGGAGGTGTCAAGGACCTCGAATTTAATTGGAATTTAAATCCCTGCAAAAAAAAAAAAATGTTGCTGTTTCTAATTGGCTGATTTGACTCATTCTTAATTCCAATTCCACTGTTGTCTCTACATATGATGGCATTTTGCCTGAAAGAACAAGTCCCAGGTTTTGGAGGAGGATGAGGTGGAGGTCCTCCTGGTGCAGGTACCACTCAAACAGGTCAAAACTGTGGTTAGACATGCTGAATTTTGGCTAACATGCCCATTGTGGAACTCAGGGAATCAGTATGTCCTTTCCACATTGAGTCTTGCCCTTTCCATCTCATGGTTAGTTGGGCTCAGCTCTCAGAATTCCCAGTTGGCTTTCAAATACAAAGCTGTTTTGCTTGCTCCAAACTGCCCTTTTGGATGCAGGAAACTCATTCACATTACAGGTTTAAACCATTTTTGTTATTCCATATCCGCAAGGGGAAAAAACAAACAGAAAACTCATTCGTCAAACTACAATACCAGGATTTATTGGGAGTAGCCATGACCTGTACAAAACCAATCGTAAATTTGTTGTGTGGATATACTTAAGATTTTGTAGAGAACATACACCATCCATTTGTAATAGACTATACCCATGTCCTACCTTTATACAGTGTATTTAATAAATTGGCTACATCGCCACCTGCCTCCTTTAGACCTTACATAATTAGTTAACTAGGGCAGCACATTAATCACATATGTAATTTTCCCAATGTTGTCTCCTGAGATCCAATATTTTGCATAAAATGTTTCTATTGCAGTAATCATATATTAAAGAACTATGCAGTATTTTCTCAAGTTACAGTACTATAAACATCGTAACACCATAACATCTAAACTCACTGTAACATCTATTTCTGCATAACCAAAGCAAGCCAACATAACAAAGCAAAGCCACCAGAAGCAGTTACCTTCCTATACCATTCTAATGACAAAAATCAAGTACTGAACCTTACTTTGCCTCACCCCCTACCCCTGTCACCAGCCAGTTTGGGGGGAATGAGCATCCCATTGAAACTTTACAGTACAAATATATACTGTATAATGAGCACAACATCGCATCACACATGGAAGAGATTAGCTGTAGAAAGAAGGCCTCTGTGTTAGGTGGAACATCCATGGTGCCAGTAAAATATGACACCCCTTCATTAACCATGGGTTAATATAGATGGAGAGCAAGCACACCGCATAAGTCATGTGAAAAGGAAAGCTGGTCAGAAAAAGTATTATTGATTTAAACTTTCCCCTAAAGAAGTACTGCATTGCTCAAGGATTTGTTCAGAAGAGAGGTCATTGTCTTTGAATGGGTTTAAACTTCTGTATTTAACTTTTATAGTCTTTGGTTTTCATCTCACTCTCATTGTTTTATGTTATATGCAAACTTGTCTCCAGAAGGGGTTTTCAGATCCTACCCTGAAGGATGGATTGGAAATAAAACAAGTGTCTGATCTCTCCAGTAACTAAGAAGCTCCAGCTGTAGTGGAAGACTTAACAGCAGTTTGACTTCTATTACAGCCTAGAAGTAGGAATCACACCAAATGTCTTGCCTTCCACTTCCTTAGTTCTTTCCATTGACATTTCTGACAGAAGACAGTATCAGACACGGCCAATTGTGTAAATTACATTTATTGCTGATACAAAGCAAAGCTCAGTTCAATCATCCAATTTCCATTCCCGCCCCCATGTCAATTGGTTTTGAATGGATGGAGAAAAATCTACTCCCCTCTGGACACATCTCACAGCATGCAGTCAAAAGAACACAGCACCAGGTCCATCAGGAAAAAAAATGGATGCAGAAGCAGTTTCAGGCAGGTCTGTGGCCTTCCCTGCTACCTTTATTTCATTTGGGGTTTTGGACACCAGCTCTGCTGATGTTGGAAATGTGGTTTCACATCACTGATTTGGAGGTGGAAGAGCTCCAAAGCATTTATTCTTGTAAAACAGCTTCCACTCATCTAATTGCAAGAGACACATCTTAAAAATGCTATGGTTCTAAGTTTCTAGGTCAATCCTTTTTACTATCTAAATCAGGGGGGTCAAACTGGCAGCCTGCAAGCCGCATGCGTCACAGGTAAGCCACGCCCATCCCAGCTCCGCAAAGGCAAAAACGATACATCACAATACGTCACAGGATGTGATCAGGTTTGACACCATGATCTAAATGTTGACAAAAAGGTAACTACTGTATGTGCCTTCCTCCACCCCACCCCATCAATGGGAATTGGCATTGAGCGCTCACAGGAAGTCCTTTAAAACTAGAAGAAAAAGGATCTTCTGTGACTTCACTTAGCACATAAAGAAGTAATTGGTAAGCCAGAATAAATGCAGCCCTGCATGTAGAGTATGTGACTGGGACAACTTCCTTGAGGTCCAGGCACAAATCTTCATGACTTGGGACTCTGCTAGCTTCAGAGTGTCACTGGCCGTTTTGCTACGAAACTAGCTAACTTTAGCTAGCACTGCAACTTCTAATTCCTGAGTTACACAATGCCATTATGCCTTCTGGACCGTCTAAGCACAGCATATGGCAGTTGTACAATGACAACACAAACATATTTGTGGTTATTTTATTATGGGAATCAGGCTAAGCCAAAAGCAGGATGCTCAAGAACTCCCAATTTTAAGATGACATAGTGGTTATTGAGGTTCTACTGATCTGTCAGCTACGGGTACTGAATTTGGCTTGCCTATGCAGGTAGTCCACATCACAGCCTTTAGACTTTCCAAAGGAGATTCAAAATGCAGGCAAAGAGCCAATGAAGACACTTATGACCCAGAGTGACTTCTTGATTAGCCATATGTTCATGAAGAAATTAGTTTGGAAATGCAGTTTGAGACACCTGACCAAAAAGAGCCAAGGTCTCATGTGGTTATGAAGCAAGCATGATGGAATTATAGGTAGTCCTTGATATATGACTGTAATTAAGCCCAGAATTATGGTTGTAAGTCATTGCGTCATAAGTCAAGGCACCCATGTGACTGGAAGCAGTGTTCTGGCCTTTTTTGCAGTAACCATTAAGTAAATGTTGGTAATTTGAATGGAAGTTTTTTGCCAGAAACCAGCAAACAAATGCCAGAAACTGGCAATAACCATCATGAATCATTGCCATTAAGCGAGGATGATGAGGACTTGCCCAGTGAAAATATATAATTCTGCTTTGACAGGCATAGTTTGATCAACTTAAACAGCAAGTTCTAGTAATCTGCCTATTATGTTCACAGGTGAGTGATTCTTTAAGTTCCAAATAAAAAAAGGCTTTTCCACCAAGCCTACTGAATATTATCTTGGCCTAGTTCTATAGTTTCTAGTTTCAAAGGCAATGCAGCAGCCCACTGGAAAGTTTATGTGTGCTCCTTGTGTGGGGGTAGGTGGGTGGAGGAAACTGAAGTCAACTGGGACTTCTGCAATGCAGAATTTGCTCAGAGGATCTCCCAGACACCACATCTCTCAGATAGGGTGGGAGATAAAACAACTACAAGAAAGGGGGCAATGGAGATGGGGGCACAGGAGAAAAAAGGTAGACAAGCCAGGAGGTAGCTGACATGGAGAAAAAAGACCATCTTATCTTTCCTTAGACAGAACACATTAGGGGGCTAATGGTGAGACCAGATTCAACATAAAAAACATGTTCCTCAACGATGAAGAAGTGGTAGGGCATAGATCCTTGCTAAAAGTTATATTCTGGTGGAGTGTGGATGGTTGGAACTAAGAGCCCATTTCAGACACACTGGGGTATAGCTTGAACCTGGCACATTTATGTGGTGGCAGGAAAAATCCCCACTGTTTAGGTTTCCAGAGAGATTCCATTACATAGATAGCAAAAAAGGAGACAGTAGAAGTTTGCCCAGTGAGATTGACACCCAAGTCAAGAGGAAATGGTAACTGGATTAAACTGTCCACAGTCAGGATAACCAGACAGTCGTTTCTGCTGCCTTTTTTCTTTTCCCAGCCTTGCTTCTGAAAGCCACTGTATTGGTTGCCATATTTTTTTAAAAAGACACTACACATGCACAAAGCTATCAGAACCCGTTGTTCAATCGGCAGCACATGAAAAGAGTATATGGAGCTGTGATGCACACTGATGCGTGCAGGGGCAGCAGAGGCATTGCCCCTCAATTTTTGTCCCTGGGAGTTCAAACAGCAATAGATTGTCTGTTCAGCTACAAACCCTCAGGTGTCCACAGGATTAGGTTTAGTAAATGGTGGAATTTTTAGTCTATAGGGAGGGAAGGCAAGAAGAGGCCTTAAATAATAAACTACAATTCGTACCAAGTAATCGAATTTCCCAAGGTTAAATCAATAAGCCAGCATTGGTTTCCTTGCAACAGTTGTACAACTAGTCTTGTTTCAATGCCCCTCCTTTATTCCTGCTTATTGTAGACAGCTGGTTCATTACAAAAATTAATCAGCAGTACGCAAATACAAAAGAATAATAAAGTGCAGTGTGTGTGTTTTCTCTCAGATGCCTCTGGCTGGGCAGAGAGAGTGTGTGTGTTTATTAAAACGAAGAAGCATATTACAAAATATTAACCAGAGGCCGACTGTGGTTTAGAAAATGCAAAGCAATGGCACGAGATGAAGAAGCCACAGGAACAAACGAGACAGACATGGCACAGGACTGCAAAAACAGCTGATGCGGAGTGGTTACAAAATTCTCACAGATGCTAAAAGTATCAAATGCAACATCCCCTACTGTTACCGGCACGTGGACACTACTTGCTACCTTGGTTTAGCCTCAGCTTCTGGAGCTGAGGTCTCAGACACAATACAGAGCTGCTTTTCCCAGATCAAGGGAAGGAATGTTCTTTGCCAACACCAACACATGGGCGGTGGCAGTAGATGTGGAGTTAGCCCCGCTCCCATTCCCATGTGGTGAGGTGCTGGCAGTGGTGGTTTGAGAGATTAGTTTTTCAAAATGGCATCATAGACTTGGTAGACGTACTGGGACACTTCAGGGGCTCGGCACTTCAGAGACAGCTGTTGGAGAAAAGAGGGAAGGGGGATTATTTCAGGAGTCCCTGAGCAATTCACCAATGGTGGATGGTTGGGAGGCAGAGCTAAAAACTGCATGAAAATGGCCCCAAGTCCCTTCCCCATTTCAATTTAATTTACCATGTCTGACATTACTAATCAGAATTTGGTTTTTCTTTGTAAAAAAAGCTAGCCAGGTAACCTTGCCCAACATGCTAAACCTCTGTGTACTGCATGGTTAATGTATTCTAAATCAGACCATCACATTCAACAACAAAATAGCATATTTATCTGATCACAGCATGTTCTGCCAGCATAACTGCCCTTCATTAACCTGGTTTGAGGGTTGTGGGTGAAACCAGCCAATCTTTTTCTTAAATATAAGGGTTCAATCATTTCATGGAATAAATGAGAGGAAAGGGACTTGATGCCTGCCAGATGGAGTGAATTCCAAGGCTAATCCATTATTGCCAACGTGACCATGCTAATAAAGATGAGTGTTGGAGACGTGCACACTAGACAGGCCCAAAATTTGCCAGCCAGTGGATTAAATAGATGATTCATTTTCTTTAATCAGGTGACAGCTTTAGTATTCTCATCTGTCCTCCAAATTTTCTGAAGTGATCATTTGAAATGCGGTTATGATATTTAACTAAATTTCTTCTTGAAAACTTGGAGTACAGGTAGTCCTCAACATACAACAGTTCATTTAGTGATCGTTCAAAATTACAGTGGCACTGAAAAAAAGTGACATGACCATTTTTCACATTTATGACCATCACAACATCTCCATGGTTACATGATCAAGGTTCAGCCACTTGGCAACTGGCTCGTATTTATGACAGTTGCAGTGTCCCAGAGTCGTGTACCCACCTTTTGTGACTTTCTGACAACCAAAGTCAATGGGGAAGCCAGATTCATTTAAGAACTGTGTTACTAACTTAACAACTCCAGTGATTCACCTAAATCAGTGGTTCTCAACCTGTGGGTCGGGACCCCATTTGGGGTCGAACGACCATTTCACAGGGGTCGCCAAACAACGCAGTCCGCCATTTTTTCCCCCTTTTCCTTAGCTGTGCTACTCCCTTTTATTCTATTGGCTTTTGAAAGCCAATAGAATAGACTCTCTTGAAAGCCAATAGGAATTGTCCAAGCTGTCTCTGCCCTGCTGAGCCCGCCAAAAGTCCCATTCTGCAAACGGTGCTGCACCAGTTGAGTAGTCCTTGACTTACGACCGGTTGAGTAGTCCTCGACTTACGACCGGTTGGAGGTCGCAGCATTAAAAAGGTTGAGAACCACTGACCTAAACAACTGTGACAAGAAAAACTGTAAAATGGGACAAAACTCACTTAACAAATGTTTCACTTAGCAACTGAAATTTTGGGCTCAATTGTGGTCGTAAATTGAGGACTACTTGTATTTTTTTTTAAGCTGTGAGCACCAGCTCAGTAACAGTTTCCCCAAGGAAATAGCAAGTTAAGACAGAAAGAAGAAAGGCGAGATCCTAAGGTCCAGCACATTTTTACCTGAGCAGCAGGATCTTACCGTATAGTTGGGATTGCCAGGTTGAATGCGTAGTTCGGCCAGTATCCAGATGCCATTGGTAAGCTTCAGGGACTGGTACAGCATGTCCTGGCCTTCCACATTTCTCTTGGCTATGGTATATATATTGTTGTTCTGGAGCTTACTGGAAACCGTATCTAACAGAAGGAAGAAAGCCACATTAGATTTTGGAAACCTTCCAAGCATGTCACCTGTCTGAGATCATACCAGGAGACAGTCTAGAAAATAGTACAAAATGCTATCCCTATTGGCAAGAAGAGAAAGCTGGCACAGCAAGCAATTCTCCTGGCCCACAATTCAACATTAAGAGTAAGAACCCACCTGACAATTTGCTTCCATTCTGTTTCTGACCCTCTGTTTCCCTCTGCCTGATAGATGAACTGAACAGTGCCATGCAAGGTGGTGGCGATGGTGGGGATTTGGGGCTGGGACAATCTCCTAAGAAGATTGTAACTCAGGTTACAAAGCTATAAACCAACAGTTCTGAGGAGACTCTCTCAGATTTAGAGCAAAAAATGAGCGACCATTTTAATATTTATTCCTTTTCTCTCTGTATACATTCATGGATCCAGGTAGACTAATTCAGCCATTGCATATTTATCAGCTGTTAGGGGCCAAAAGCAGTGAAGAGAAGGTTGCCAGTGCCTGCTATCTGAAAGCCTCTGTGGGAATAGGGTACTGAGTAAGTGAGTCTCTGGTTTGTCTTCCTACCTCCTCCTAACTTGTACTGTACTGCTTTTGAACCTGTAACTAAAAAAGACAAGTGGAGGAGAGAGACAAGTCCCTGCTTATGAGGAGCTTAAAGTCAAGACCTTCCGGAGTTGTCATCCTCACTTTCCAGGGCTTCCTTTCCATTCATACCTCTTTCTTAATTGCCAGAAGATTCCATGCTGCACAGTACCCTCGCCAAATGCTGTATCATTAATGTAGAACAAAGCTGGGAAATGCAGCAAATATATCCATAAGCCAACAGATGCTTTTTAACAAACGCTTTCATTTTATGTATTCTCCTAATGTAAAATTCAGAAGAAGCTTTCAAGTGGATCAGATTAGTGCTGGATCCATTTGAGATCCTAGAATGGTTGGTTAAGGGGTCATGACTCACCCCCCTTCCCCTCACACATATGGAAACATAAACATTTGATCTCTTTAATTGCATTCACAATTCAATGGGCTTGTTTTTCTTTTTCTTGGTTGCTGTGGAAACTGAGACACCCAGGCAACTCATCTTTTCCAGGGATTGTGTCCTATGTCTCTATCCCAACTTTCTTCTCAAGAAATTCACTGTACAGAACAGTCATCCCCTTTCCATGCAGAATTAACAGCTGCTCAACACCATGGAGATTTGAAAACATGACTTCCCCTTGAGAATCCTGGGGCAAAAAAAGCCTATTATATTCTATAATTTTGGGGTGTGTGCATTATCTTACTTCAGACAGGATTCTTGGCAGTGCAGAGCTTATGTACAGTTAAGGCAGCAAGCTAGACCCTGGGAGATCGAGAGAGTTCTAGTTTCCTGAGGCTCAAAGTCATCTGGGTGACCTTGGGCCAGTCACTCTCTCAGCTCTAGGAAAAAGGCAAAGGCAAACCACTTCTGAAATCTTGCCAAGAAAACTGCAAGGACAGCCCAGAAAGTCAAAAAGCTGACTTGGAGACACCCAAATAAATAAATAAATAAAAAACTTGTAATCACTTGCCTACTGTCCTTGCAAAAATTAATTCTCCAAACTTGCAATCACATATTTTATAAACTAAGATCTGGTTTGCATTCTGAAGGATTTCAAAACAGTCCAATACACTTGGGTTAATTCCCACGCTCACAAACAACTTGGAGCCCAAATACAAATTTTGATTCAGAATCCAAATGTCCATGCATCCTGCTGACTGTCCCTGGAAACTAGGTGAAAAGTTCAGGAAAAGCAATCCCGTATGAGGGGATGAGGAATACCGAATTACAAATAAATAGATTCAGAGACTTTAATATACACACAAACAGATATAAAACATCTTCAACTTTTACATTTATTTTCAGACTTTTTTTTTTCGGACTCAGGAATTTCCAGCAAAATACTACCTCTGCAATGATCAAACCTGCTGTTTCAGAGGAGGATATACTGGAGGGCTGTCCAAGAGAGTTTTTGATAATTTGAGCATAAGTACCATTTTGTGGCAATTAATATTAAAATGACATGGAGATTAGAAGTGGCTCTAGTTAAGAAGCCTGCAAGATTTCAGAAGGAGAGTTAATGAGCTGGATTTTGTAGAACAATTGATACAGATGTGGGGGGAGAGGACAGTAAATCTTTTTAACAGGAGAACCATGACTGAAGCCAGCCAAGTGGGCTGCACATTGACCTAAGAATAATTGTAAGTTCTTTGGGGCAGGGGATGTATCCTCCTTATCCCCACACTGTGCATTTAATACAGTAATTAGTTTGATTCTTTTAAAAAAAAACTGGTAAGGATCTCCTTTGGGGAACAGGATCATTCACTTTCCTTCAAAGAATGCCAGTCAGCCAGCCTTTCCTCCCTTTCCCAGTCCTCCCATGCCAAGGCTGATGAGAGCTTCTCAGGGAATGAGCCAGGTTGCTAGGCAACATTGCCTGGCAGTGCCTGACACGTGAGGTAGATCGGCATGGACATGTGACGGGCTTGCCTTTATAAATGGGCCCCTATGCAGAATTGCAGCAGAACCTTAGCACCAAATAGGACAGATTATTTGGCAAAGGTTCCTGGAGAGGCACAGAACTTGAAAGGAACACCCCTCCCCATTTGCTGTTGGTTTATCCCAAGACAACTCTTAAAAATACTTTGGATTCCATCAGAGTTTCCCTTTATGATTATCTGTTGGAGGAGGAAACAAACCTGCAGTCAAAAGTTTACCCTGACAGTGGCAGTCCCTCCAGAAATAACACACTCCAAAACATTTTCTTTTTCAAGAAGTGTTAAGCATCTGGATTGATGCCTGAAGACAGAAATTTATCTTGTGTTGAGTATATTGAGCATACATTTCAGGGGATTATACTGAACTTAAGTAAATTGCTGTTAGAGCAAAAGACTTGGCTAGATGGATCTAACCTAGGCTGACTAATTGGGACAATTCATTTTACATCTTTTAAAACCATTGTTCTGCTATAGGTAATAAATTATACCAGGGATGTCCAACCTTGGCAAGACCACGAAAGAGCATTGGGGAAGAGATAGTATGAGAGGGCCCAAAATTTCCCTTAAATTTGATCACTGAACATGAATTGGTACCGTAATTAAATTTTAACAAGCCTATCCATTATTTCAAACTGGCTTTGTGGTGGAATGTAGTCTGGATTCCCATGAGGGAGGACAAAGAGACAGCTAACTTCAGATAGTTTGGCTGGTTGAAAGAGAGTTAAGATGACTCCTCCCTAGCAATTCTCAGGGTATATCTTTAGTGATGCAAGTCGTTAGTTGCCTTAACTATGGCAAAAATTCTGTCTAATGATAAGGAACAATAAAGGAAACTGTTCAAAAATACAGTAATTCTACATGTCTTTCTTGGTTCTTGGGGCCTGACAGGCATTAATCATATATAGTTTAGGACAGTGATGGCGAATCTTTTAGAGACCGAGTGCCCCAAACCTGCCCCTGCCCCTGCTCCACCCCCTGCCCCGTCCCTGCTCTGCCCCCCCATCCTCCGCCCCGCCTGCCCGCAGGGCCACTCACCACCTCCAGGGCCTGCCGCAGATCGCCCAGATAGCCCAGCAGCGCTATGGCGGTCACGCCTCTGCCCGAGCCCTACAGCATCAACTGTGCACAATGGAGTGTGAGGGCAGAGTCTTGTCTACGCTGCCTGGCTGCCATGAACTTGGCTGTGCTGCTCCGCGTGGGCCATGCTCAGGGGTGATTCTTCTTCAGGGGGGCTGCTGGAGAGGAGGGGGTCACGGGCGGAGGCAAGGCTGGGGCAACGGCACGTGTGCCCATAGAGAGGGCTCCGAGTGCCATCTCTGGCACCCGTGCCATAGGTTCGCCACCACTGGTTTAGGACATTATATCTGGAGGCCTAGGTACATTGCAGATATTTCTGTTTGTCCCACTCACAAGGTGTGCTGCCAATCTTTTTCAGCCCCTTCCACACAACATTATAAAAACAGCCATAACAAAGCTTTCTCTAAACCCATCCCATCCCCCTTGCAGCTCTCATTATGATAGCACTTAAACAGAGCCTTGACTACCCTAATTCCTACTCAGCAGAATTATTTTGACATGTGCAAGGGAACACCCCCCCCCCCACCTTGCTATCATTCGAAAGGCACTGGTTTTGTGATCAGTGACTTAATTGCTACATTTATGCCTTTCTAACACTCTGAACTTAGTCACTGCAGGAGGGTGACCTTGCAACTAAGGATGGGGGTGGTAGCAGATTAGGAGACAAGGCAAGCCCCAAGCACACAAGGCATTTAACATCAAGAATGTGCCTTGGCTTAGTCGGACACAAGCCTGTGACTGTGTGAACCACCTACTTTAGAAACGGCATGCCTGCTTTTCTTTTGTAGTGATAATTGGGAATTGGAACATTTTGAAAAGGGGGCAAGGAAAGCGTTGGTGATGTGTGTTGTGAAAGGGGAGCGGGAGGGGAAGGGGGGCAATGGCTGTTGGAAATAGGCAACACTACAATAGTAAACTAAGAAACAAATGGAATCTTATTCCACAGAAACTAGATTCCGTCGTAACTGAAGCAAACATCAGTGCATAGACTTACTTTGATTTGGAGACATATTGAGCCCAAGTCAAACTTTCTGCCATCCTGAAAAGCTTTCCATATGTATATAACTATATAAAATTGATTTTTCTTACTATAAAAATATTTTTAATTATAAAAGATTACACAACTGAATTGAGGCTATAGTAGACATTCTGTGAAAACGCAGCATGTAGTAACTAAACATAGCTACTGAGCCCTATGGATAAAATTAGTATTGTTGCTAATTAAATACTTGTCTTCTGCTGAAAATAAGCTCAGCTAACTGAATCATCAACTGAACTAATATTTTTCATCTCTTTTCCTCATCTTCCTAATATTGGTTTCCCAATTCTAAATTTTAGATTACAGCAGCCTATAGCACTTCAATATCACAATAGTCCAAATCTATGCTCCAACCAC